GACATAATGATACAGAAACTCTAACTACAGAAACCTGTTCTGATTGCAAGAGAGATTGAACTTAATGTTTCCCTAAGGATCCCTTTTGGGGGCATGGTAATTCAAGTCAAAGGGTCTCCATCTATCTACTTCTTTCTTCTGGAATAAATAATAATTATATATTGTTTAAGATGTCTAGGTTGCTCCATTCTATGCTCTGAGCAGCTTATAAACTAAGACAAACCATGAAAAACAATAGAGAAATCTAGGGACAGAAACAACATCTCATCCTAAAGATGCCATTCAAACAACTCTTTTAAATCTTATTAATAATTGGCTAATATATATTAGAACCACGATGACATCACCAGCTGCTGCACCTCCCTCCGACCCCCACACAAAACAAATGGACACACTCCATGAACACAGAGCTAGACCGCAAACTCGGAGCCAAACCAAAGCCAAACAATCCACAAATAATAACCTCAACACAGCCAACCAATCCACCTACAGCAACTAAGCCAGCACTCTACCCCCCCACCTATATATATATACATATGTAGGTCTTTGGTTATTCGGGTTTTCTCCCGTGTAAAATTGGAAGTGTCTTGGCGACGTTTCAACAAAGTCCCATTCGTCAACTTCAGGCTGGTGTTTTCAGCTTCGTGCTTCTAGGAGCTCGAAACATCACCAAGACACTTCCAATTTTACATGGGAGAAAACCTGAATAACCAAAGACCTACATACAAACACCCGCGAAAACCTCAGAAAACAAATATTTATATATATAAATAGGTAGATAGAGGTAGGGATGATTATCATAGAGACAGAGATGATGGATGGATGGTTGGATGGATGGATGGATGGATGGATGGATGCATAGATGGATGAGTTGTATGCATGGACACTCAGACAAACAGACAGACGGTAGGTAGGTAGGTAGGTAGGTAGGTAGGTAGGTAGGTAGATAATTAGAAGTATGTATCAGATTCAGCCAAAAAGGAGATCTCAAGATATAGTAATTCAGAATTGATTCAAAAGACATAAATACAAACAAACTTTTATTGTTTACATAAAGAAACATGGTGGGATTGACAGATTCATGTGACAAAGTTGCTCTTAAATCAAAGTGACCCTTATTGCTAGGCCCTGTTGCAATTACACAGTGTCTTGGAAACAACCTAGAAATAAGGAGAAATTTCAAGCATACATATCCACAGGATCTAGCACTTTTCTCAAAAGCAACGATATGTCATTATGATGCAAGTTCCACCTCTTTTGTATATGGGTGATGTCATGATGTATAGTACATATAAAGTGAATGGAGATTTTGTTCCATTGATGCAATTTCATTTTCATCATTTGCCTCACTTTACACCTTTCCCCAGGAAGTTTGACATATTGTAGCAGTTTATCTGTCATAGCCCTGAATATTGATGAAAGAGCCCTTGGAAATACTTCAACAAATGCCCTGAGTTGGTGACTGTGCTTCATCTTTGGAAGAAGACTTTTCCAGTAAATCCATGATAACGAAATCACCTGGATAATACATTTAAGCAACTTTAATTTCCTGAAATGAAAAGTTGAATATGAATATGAGTGATTGGTCTTGTATGCCCATTCTATTTTTAATGGTTTAATTGAAAAGATTTGTTTTAGATGGATGAATAGTTCAATTAGATTGTATTCAATTGAATGAAGAATTAAATTGTATCATCCACCTTCTGGGGGAGGAGAAGGAGAAGCCTTTCCTGTGTCACATTTTATTTTAGCAACTCATTTTGTCATGCTGGTGTGCTGTATTTTCAGACACACACACACACACACACACTCACCAAAAACACTTATAATGATACAGGTTCTTCATTGTTCTGACAGTTTCTTGTGGCACCTGGACATGTTTTTGTTCCATCTGTCTTATTAGCTTCTCTATTTTTTTCTCTCCCTGAGGAAATTTTGGAATAGCAGTATATCAGATGATGCTAATGTAACTGGTGCATTTGCACACATATACATACATACAAACACACCCCTAGTAGTAATACATTTTTATGTGCTGTTCAAGAGGATTCACAGCCCAATTCTATTGATGTCTAGGCACAGCAGTCATTTATGACTTGTGCCTACCTTGCTGATGTAACATGAATAAGTAACAATACAGATGTATCTAGCAATGAATACAATTTTAATACAAATGTGGGAGCAGGAATTAAGGTGCTGTGGGTTTCTTTCAAAATAACTCAGCCATGTTCCCTGAAATAGAGTCCCCACCTGCCACAATTGCTTTTCATTTTGCTTCTGTCAAAGAAATTGGTGGGCCTTGTCCTAGTTGAACATATTGCATGATATAGATAACAGCAGACTGTGAATCCTTTCACATTGCCAGTCCTGTGCTTTAAATTGAAAGATATAGATCGGCCTTCCTCTATTTTTATTGCAAAAAAGAGGAAAGTCTTTTTCCTATGTTCTGTTGCTAAAGCTAATAGGATCATTATGCCCGAGGCCTTTTGTTGAATCAACTAATCCAACTTTGTCTTCTTTTAGAACTTAGAGGTATACAGTGGTGTTGAATATGTCACTTTCAATTTCTCATCTGTATTATGGAGATATATGAGCATATTCTGCAGCATTGCATGACAATTATTGAAATGTGAAATATTTTGAACGAGATGATGATAGTATTGGTAGTGGTGGCAATCAATCAATCAATCAATCAATCCTAGCAGTAACTTTCTGTAAACTCAGAGTCAGAACCATATAAGATATTTTTGGGTAGGTCTGTATTATTTTCCTCAAAGTTCATTTGAAAAAATAAAGTAATAAATGGACATGAAATTTGGCTCCTTGGTTCTTAACCACAGCGTGAAATGAACATTAATTACTGGAATATTGGGCCTGGTTCACAGCCAGACAGCCCTGAAGACCATTAAATTCAGCATTAAAAATGATATTAATTAAGGACTCCATCCTGCTACTTCCCTCTCTTCTTTTCCCTTGAGGCCTTCTGGAGAAAGAAAGGAAAGTGAGAATGAAAAATGTTCATGCTACTACTTTGGAAAGAAAAGGGAAAGATTTTTTTTAAAACTCATATGTATAGATCAGAAGAAACTTGGGGGAAGAGAGGCTGGTCATGAAGCTGCAGCAGAGATTCACCCCAAACTGATAATACAAGATTCCTTCATAAATATATATATATTTACTTTCTCATTGCTTCTACCTGACATCTCTGCTCTCTGAGTGTAGCTGGATGAAAGAGTTCCTCAGAGGCTGAGAATTCTTGAATGAGAATTCCTCAATTCCTTTATAATTTTGGCAACTTGGTCATGATGCTGGTTATAATCTGTTTAGGAAATTTTGTTGCAGCCAGTGATCAAATGAGGGATCAAAGTGAGTTTTATTCAGAAGTTAAGAATGTTATATATTTTTTAAAGTTTGGGGAAAAGATTGTTCTTGATCCTTGTTTCCACTAAGCTACTTTAGAGTTAGTTAGCTACCTTGCTTTGTTTTTCAACCAAATATCAATTACTTGGAGAGCACTGAATGATACGGAAGTGATCTTACACTATTAGACCACAGGAGCACAGCTCTAAGATTGCATAGTTAGCCCTGGCCTGATTTAGATGTAACCCTCAGAAATTTCTAATATTTGTTAACAAGTTACAAGTTATGAGTGCTCCATCACTGGAGGCTTTTAAAGAAAAGCCATTTGTCTGAAATAGTATAGGGACTCATGCTTGAATAGGGGGTTGGATTGGATGACCTCCAAGGCCCCTTCCAATTTGGTTATTCTGTTAAATGCTTTATTACTATTATTATTGTTGTTGTTGTTGTTGTTGTTGTTATTCCTTCAAGTCAATCTTGACTCCTTAGATTAATCCCTGCAGTGTTCTTTGAAAATGTTCAGAAGTAGTTTGCCCTTGTCTGTTTCCTAAAGCTTACAGAAAGAGAACAGTCCAAAGTCTCTCAGCTGGTTTTATGCCTCAGGGACCACTAGAACTCATGGCTTCCTGGAACCCAACTCCAATCTTTTTCACTGTAGGATTATGCAGTATCTTCTCCCTGTTAGATCATGTAGGTAGATAGATTCTATCTGAAGAAGCTGGTCCCCAAAAAAACAATGGCCAAAGCCATAAAGGAAATTATAAGTAATCAAACAAAAATACCTTTTTGTTCAGACCTCAGTCCAAAATCATGTAAATGGAATCTGCCACTTCTCTAGCTTGCCTCTGAGACAATAATTTGATTAAATAATTGCTTCAGCCAAACAGCCTTACTTGATTAGTAGTGTACATCTATTTGGATTCTCATGGTTGCAGTGATCTTTAAAATGAAAAAAAAATGTTTATCATGATTGTTATTTTTTACATCTGGATTATTGCTACTTTTTCATGATGTGGCAACAGATGTATTAATTGAGTTTAGGGTCTTCTGGCAATTGTGAAAATAATGCCTCACAGTTTTACCTGGCCACATTGATTTTAAATACAGAGAGTCTCAAAGAAAGGAAAGACATTGATTTGACAGAAATAAAGAAAAGTCTAGTCCTATTGTTTCCTTTGGCTACAAGCAAAGTGCAAAATAAATCTCAAGCGGCTAAGAAAGATGAGAAAGACTAGCAACCTTGAAAACTTCCATTTAACACACACACACACACACACACACACACAGAGAGAGAGAGAGAGAGAGAGAGAGAGAGAGAGAGAGAGAGAGAAATCTAACCCTACAGAAATCATAAATTCAATATTTGACACTGGTTTGAGGCCTTACACCTTAGCCAGCATGGTAAATTGCTTTGTTTAGAATAACACTATGACAGCATCTGTCTTTAAACAAATAAACTCAACACTATTTAAAAGATATCTAATACTGTAATGCCTACAATTCCAAATCTTGCTTCAAAAAGTTTGGGTGATCATTCCAAAACATGTGATATTTCGAAAACATGTGATACTTGCATTTTCACTGTTGTCATGCTGTCTTCTTTTTTCTTCTACCTTTGCACCCAACCATCTGGATTAAAGTTTGTAACCTTTGGGACGAAACCATCTCCTGAAATTTTGGTCCTTTTTGCAGTATCAAATATAATTCCGAGGAAGAGAGAGAGAAAGGTACAGAATTTCAACTATATTCTGAATTAACTTTCTACCCATCAGTGTTTCTACTGATGCCTTCACTGTCACATCTGGAGGTTCCTTTTGCTTTTAGCAGCCCTTCTACATTGTTCATCTTTGGAGTATGTGAGCACTCCAGAATAATACTTAAGTTGACATGGAAGATTAGCATTTGGGACCATTTTTAGTCTTTTAGAAAGAGGCAGGACTTGAGTAAAAGGAACTTTTCTGCAGGAACTTTAAAGAGGATGAATCACCCTGCACAAGACGAGGAAAGGCAGAAAGGATCCTTTTCCAGTGTAGGTGAGCAAGTATAGGTGGAATTTTTCTTCCCCCTTCATTTGTTTACTTGAAAAGAAAGAACTTTCCTGTCTTCTGAAATCCATTTAGAATTCTGACATTTCACCCATTTGGCTTGTCCTGCTTTGAAGTCCCTTCTATGAATGGAATAATTGCAAAGCAGGGACAAATTTGGCCAATGGGATTCCAGATCCTAGGAGCAATGTATTATTGGCCTTTTAATAATCTCATAATATTTTATTGGGATATAATGGGCATATTGTGGGGTTCCTGTTTTTATCTTAGCATTTGGAAATCTGGTATTTCATTGTACAATAATATTGTTAGCAGTATTTCGCTTCACTGGTTTTCCATCTTTCAAGGAAATCTCAAAGAAGCCCCAGGTTTACTTCCACAGCAGTTTGCAGCATGTTGGAGAAATGTATGTGTAACACACCCCTCCCCCCAAATCCCTTTCCTAGCACTCATCTTTCTTGGAAAGTAAAAGTAAAAAAAAAGTTGTAAAGAAATTCTAAATGATTTTGTGAATAAGGTAAAAAAAAACCAAATATGGGAAAAGGAAATTTTACAACATTTTGACATAGCAGTTAATGCACCTGTCTAGAGTAGCAATAGCACTTAGACTTATATATCACTTCAGAGTGCTTTACAGCCCTCTCTAAGAGGTTTTTATAGAGTCAGCCTAAGGCCCCCAACAATCTGAGTCCTCATTTTACTGACCTCGGAAGGATGGAAGGCTGAGTTAACTTTGAGCCAATGAGAATCGAACTGCCGAACTACTGGCGGCTGGCAATCAGCAGAAGTAGCCTGCAGTACTGCGTTCTAACCACTGCGCCACAACTCGAGGAGTCTGCAAGTTCTAATCCTGCCTTAGGCATGAAAGTCAACTGGGTGATTTTGGATTAGTTACTGTCTCTCAACCCAGCTGACTTCACAGGATTATTATTGAGGGGAAAATAGGAGGAGGAAAAAATATTAGGTATGGTCACTATCTTGATTTATTTATAAAAATAATAAATTTAGTATTTATATACTAAGTTGTTCTATACAATATACTTCTTTGAAATTTGATATAGAGTCAATCAAGATGCAAATAGGAATATTCTTTTTTGACTAAAAGTTTACAGCAGAAAAATATTCCATGGGGGAGGGGTTAGAAAGTGTGATTTTTACTTTTTTAAACAGCAGACATTTCAACTGAATTATGCTCAAAAGTCAAGAATTTTTTTTTTTTAGGAAAGTTTAAGGAACTGGAAAAGATCCAAATGAAGATTTCAGAAAAGAGTACACAACCACAACAGATGCAAAGGGAATCTGAAAGGGATGATTCTGCATTTAAATTCTACAGGTGTCAATTTGTATAAAAATTTGGGTAAATAATTTATTTCAGCAGGATTTAAAAAAAACAAAATAAAAGAAATGGAGTTGTTTTATACCGTATTTTAACTCCCACTAAAACAAGAACTTATACTGATAGACTATGGTACTGGGAATCCAAATGAGGATAAACAACCTATGGAAAGATTGATAGCCTATTAGTATGAAAAATAAAGTTTTATTGGAGGACTTGAATGTATTCTTTTCCATACAATTGGGTAGAACATCAGAGAAAAAGATTAAACCACCCAAGGCAAATTACTAAAGAGGTTTTTTTTAAAAAAAATTGATGGACAACTTAGGGTTAGTAGATATGTGGAGAAAGAAAATGGTAATTCTAGAAAGTACACTTTCTTTTCAGAAAAAAAGAACATTTTCATGAATAGATATGATCTGGACTTTAAAAATCTTGGATACTATATTCTCTAAAGGAGAGATTTTACCAAAAACTTACTCTGATCATAATCTTATGAGTTTAGTTTATGAAAATAAATCTAGTTCTTTTAAATGGAGGTTAACCAGAATTACAGAAAAAAGAACAGTGAAGGATTGTAAAAAGAAATTAAAATATACTGTTTTAAAAATAATTTATATAAATACACTGATTTAGAAATGGTTTGGTATGTAAGAAAAGCTTATATTAGAGGCTATTTTATATGTAGCATAATATTGAACTCAGAAAGAAGAGGAAAGAGAAAATACAGGCTATTTTGGATGATATAAATAGAAAAGAAGAATAATTAAATTCCCAGAGAAGATAAGTATCTCTCGGCAAATTAAACTTTTACAGCAACAGCTATCAATTTTAACAGTAAGAAATGGAAATAAAAATGAATTATGTAAAGCAAAGAAATTTTGAATTTGTAAATAAACCAGGGAAATGGTTACCTTACAAATTAAGAAAAAGAAAAGCAAATGGAACTGAAATTTCAAGTGATAGTTAATGCATTAATGGATAATGTGGCTATGCAAAGAGCATTCCATCAGTATTATTCCAACTTGTATAAAAAGACCTGTTATTCTTTTCAAGAAAAGAGATGAATATCTACAGAAACAAAATCTATTAAGGATTACAGAGAAACAAGGACAAATTATGAATTGATTTAAAACAACAAGGGAAGCTTCTGAAGCTATAAAAAAGGATTACATCAGGAAAAGTACCTGAATCTGATGGACTATCAGGCTTTTATTGTAAATGTTTTGAGGATGGACTTTTATAACCCCCTAATATAATGAATTCTATTTTACAGGGAGGAAAACTGCCAGAGACTTGGCAAGAGGAAACAGCACTAATACAGAAAGAGAGGTAAGATTTGATTTTAATAAGAAATTATAGACTAATATCAATATATAATGATTAGAAATTGTTCACAACTATTCTAGATGAGAGATTGAAAACAATTTTGCAGAAATTCATTCTTGAAGATCAAGATAAAAGACAGCTGAAGCACAATACAGTATTAGAATTGTGCTGAGTTTTAGAATATTTGGAAAAATATAATGAAAAACATGCTGCATTATTATTATTTTTTTAAATCAAGAGACGATCTAGTGACAGGATACACTTGCTTCTTACATACAATTGGCAGAAAGATTTAAAGTAGAGAAAAGAACTTTTAATTTTGAACAAGGTAAGATTGAGTTTGAAAAAGTGGCCTTGGGTAGCTTTGCCTTCCTTTTTCCTGCCTTTGGTCTCCACTCACTGTCTGATAATATTTGTTTTGCTGACTGATAGTCTATGGAGGAATCTGGTGTGTGAAAGATCTGGAAGGCTAGTGTTCTAGGTAAGACAATAGAGCTGACATAATTTACCAGTGATAAATACTTAAATTGCAGTGTCCTCAAAGATAATGAACAACCAATTGTACAAGCTTATCCACTAAGTTTAAAACAAGAAGGAACAGATGAATACCTAGAACTTTAAAAGCGACAAAATAATAAGAAAGCAGCTGATGTCATATTCTTTTCAAATCTATTCACCAGTCTTATTCAACAGAATAGGATAATTCCCTTCATCTGCTGCTTGTAGGCTTCTTGAAAGGACAGAGAGTTAGCTGTTATTTCCATTTTTAATGTTATACATTTGCCACTGGGAGGAAAAATAGTTGTAGGCATGTCTCCTATCTCGGGTGGCAAAATAACGTGAGTCATTTTAAGTGCTATAAACTCTTCCTTGAGAAATGCATGGTTTATTTCAGTTCCTCAGACAGGCAAATGTCATCATGTGCATACTTAGAAGCTGCTGATTTTCAACCCCAGATTGTAAAAGCAAAGCTATTTTAAAACTGCCCTTCAGATTTGTTTCTTGGTGATAACCAAGACTGTATTTTCAGCAAGTAATTTCATCAGAGTTCCAGACTGCAGCAATCAGGGCCTCATGAGTCTTCACAAAAAATCAAGAATTCATCCTCCTTGCATTCATTAGACTTAAATTCATCTCGTTTATGTCTTGCTGGTTTCTTTTCTAACTTACTAGCTTCTCCCTGGTGCTATGTGGCCAGAACTAAGATAACATTTCAGTGCTATTCTAAGAAACTTATTGCTTCTTGGAAAATAGAGTTTGGAGCTGTAACAAATTTGATGAGAGAGGTGATGTATGTCCTATCTCAATAGATTTTCCATTTTCCCCAAAAGGATTGAGAAGAATGACAAATTTAAGAAATGCTGCATCACATTAATTTAGATTTTCAATCTACTTTTCCAGAACCAGTGGAGTTTCTCAGAGTAGTACTGAAAACTATGAAGATCTTTCAGAAAACCTATCATGCTCTTTAATAAGCAAGGGATTTAGTTAGTTTTCCCAGTGAAAGACACCTGGTTTCTTTTTCCTAACTTATTTTTTTTCCCTGTGTTTTACATATGTGCAGAGGAAAAACATCTTACAAAAGGCCATTCAATACCAGCATGGTTTAAATACATGATACATGATTTCTTTGTGGAGGGGAACATAATCTTTATATTTCAATATATTTATAATATTTCACTTCTCACTCCCTCATCCAATTTGTAATATTTCTATCTGCAAATTGAGAACAACATTTCTCAATGAAATATTTCTTTAGTTACTGGCCTTAGTGGCTAGAAATTCTAAGAAGTATAGTTAATATATTTAAAGGTCAAGTCTGAAAAGTCTACTGTTTTCTCTTTCTCTTTGTCTTCCTATATATGTTGAGAAAAATAGTCCAACACTGGAATAAATATAAAAACAACTGTTTAATAAACTAGCAACTGTTTGATAAACTTAGCTTTCGTCGGCTAACTGCCGACATCATCAGAGTGGAATCCTGGAGGTTTGAAAGCCTGCTTATAAGACCGGCAGTTTGTGTGCTCTGCTCATAGAATGCATTACCGGTCTACACGCCCCAGTTGACCATATTGCTTCTAATAGTCTCACATCTGTTTGTACACTTGTAAGCTCGGGGATCATTGCCTCTTTTTTTGTTGCTCTCTTTGCCCACTTTGGACATATCTGGGTACATGTTGCTATAGGATGGTCCTCCAGTGCCTCCTGTCCTGTGGCCACCCCCCTGTTGTGAGTGTGGCACCCCACCTCCCATCATTGGCTCCTGTACAAATCGTGCTGGGGATTTCTCCCCTTTGCCAGTCGTGGTTCTTTGTTGTTTCAGACAGCGGTTCTGGTCCTGCGTAGGCTGCATCTGTTGCACTCATTGTGAGTTGTTACTCTGTTGTTCCCACTTTCTTAGTGCCTGGACAACCATGGGATCTGGCAGGGTGAGAGCTGTGAACCATAAACACAAAGCTTTCGCTGTGTCCCTGCACAACAGCTACAGTGCCCTTGCTGACCTTAATAGGGACATTAAGGAGACTGGTAAAGGTATTTGTGAAGATAACTCAAATAAGCAGGGGATTGTGGTCCGAGATGAAGAACTAGATTTTGACAGGGAGAAGTGTGAATCAGGTATTGCACATCAGTCATGCAAGAATAGAAAGGCTCCCAAAAAGAGAAGCTACCTTCTGGTAGGTGATTCAATTATAAGGGATGTAAATTTAGGAAAGGACACAGAGGCTTTGAAAGAGGTCAGGTGTCTTCCAGGTGCTACTGCCAGTAGGGACAAGAAGCGTATTTCTAAAATAATCAAGAATGGCAGCAAGGACTGTGATGTGGAGGCTATTGTACATCTTGGCACTAATGATCTGTCCCAAAAAGATGTACTCTCTGTGCAGAATGATTTCCAGAGCTTGGGGAAGGAACTTAGCAGAATAGGCTGTAGGCTTACTTTCTCAGAGGTTTTACCAGTGTATAAGGAGCAAAACGGAAAAGGCCAGTGCATAGCACAATTCAATATGTGGCTAAAGGAGTGGTGTAAAGGGGAAGGCTTCGGATATATTAGTCACGATGTCAGTAGCTGGTCCAATCAAAAGATGTACAAAAGAGATGGTTTGCATCCATCAAAAAAAGGGACTGAGTTACTCGGCTATAAATTCACAGATTTTCTGGAGGGAAATTTAAACTAAACAGCGGGGACAGGGAGTTAATTGATACGGAACAACCCTGTCCCCGGCAATTTAAAAACTATAGGGCTATCAGTGCATGTAGCATAGATGTGTGTGTGGACAAGAATACCAACCTTGCTACCAATCAAAATGAAGCCTCTAATAGCGAGTGCCACATAAAGTGCACTAACCAAATAGGTGGTAAGACAATAGGGGAACTCAGGCACCACACAGGTTATGTAGAAAGGAAACACAGGGCCACCCACAAAGGACTCAAATGTTTATACACCAATGCACAGAGTATGAACAGCAAACAGGGTGAACTAGAAATTCAGGTTAACGAGGGCAGATACGATATTGTTGCCATTACGGAAACATGGTGGGATGAAACTCACACATGGAACACACAGCTAGAGGGATTTAAATTATTTAAAAGAAACAGACCAAATAAAAGAGGAGGTGGAGTTGCTCTCTATATAAGAAATAACTACATCTCCACAGAAATAGAGTACAACAATGATAAAAACTGTCTTGAATGCATTTGGGTCAATATAAAAGGGGGGGGGAAATGACATTGCCATAGGTGTATACTACAGACCACCCAACCAAACAGAGGAAATAGATGAACTTTTTGCTAGTCAGCTAACTAAGGTATGTAGGAAGCACACCACAATAGTAATGGGGGACTTTAACTACCCTGACATCAACTGGGAGACAAACTCCGCACCAAGTGGAAGATCAAACAGGTTCCTGGCAAACCTAGCAGACAACTTTGTCTCCCAAAAAGTAGAGAAGGGAACTAGGGGATTAGCCATTTTGGATCTAATTCTCACTAACAGAGATGAAATGATAGACGGTGTTGAAGCCATAGGAACCCTGGGAGGAAGTGATCATGCAATATTAGAATTCAACATTATAGAAGCACAACCAATAGAACACAGTCAAACTAGAGTCTTGGACTTCAAGAGAGCTAATTTCAATAAACTTAGAGAGGGCTTGGGAAGGATTCCATGGATGAGAATCCTCAAGGGGAAAACAACTCAAGAAGCTTGGGAAATTTTGAAAAATGAGATAATAAAAGCACAGTCTAGCACAATACCAACAAAGAGGAAAAATAACAGCTCTCAAAAGAAACCAGCATGGCTGCATAAAGAACTCTCTGACAAATTGAAAGATAAAAAGGACAAGTACAGAAAGTGGAAAGAGGGGAACATAACTAAGTCAGAATATCAGCAAATAGCCCGAGCCAGCAAAGATGAAGTGAAGAAAGCCAAGGCTCAAAATGAACTAAGGCTTGCGACCAAAGTCAAAAATAACAAAAAAAGCTTCTTTCAACATGTAAAAAACAAGAAAAAAGTGAAGGAAATGATTGGTCCATTAGTGGGTGGAAGTGGCAAGAAGGTGACAAGCAACAGGGAGAAAGCAGAACTATTTAACTCATTTTTTGCATCTGTCTTTACACAAAGGGAAAAAACAGACCAACCTATCAAAAATAGTGCCACAAAAAACAAAACAGAAACACAAGTTAAGATAGGCAAGAAAATGGTTAGTGAGCACCTGTCCAGCCTAGATGAGTTCAAATCGCCAGGACCAGATGGATTACACCCCAGAGTTCTCAAGGAACTGGCAGATGTGATATCGGAGCCACTGAACTATATTTTTCAAAGATCCTGGAACACAGGGGAACTACCAGAGGACTGGAAAAGAGCTGATGTAGTTCCCATCCTCAAAAAAGGAAAAAAAATGGATCCAGGAAATTACAGACCTATCAGCCTGACCTCAATACCTGGGAAGATCCTGGAAAAGATAATCAAACAACGAATCAACGAACACCTAGAGGCAAACAAAGTC